GAATCAGATTAAGCTTCAGTTACATGTTTTACAGTGGCTAAACAAACTATAGCAAAGGCATGGCTGTCTGATTTATCTCCTTTAGTCCTTTACTACGGTAAAAATAAACATGTTACATTTATTTTTATTTTTTTTGCATAATAGATTTTTATTAAAGGTTTTTAACATCTGCAACACATACATTGATGATTACTTTCTAATATGTATACTCAATTACAAAAGTAGTAACTATGAGACATATACAATGTTACATTTATTAATGAGAAGCTTGTGACATGCCTCCTTCCCCCCTTTTTCTTTCTCCTTTCCTGCTCTTACCACTTCTTTTTTCTATGTCCTTCTCTTCAGCCTCCTTGTTTCCCTTGCTATATTGTTATTCTCACTACTATGCAGTTTGGTACTTAGCCCTTTCCTTTTCCTCATGGTCTGGAGTTGCAAATGAACTGGAGAAGGCGTTATCATGTACCATGAGACTCTTTTGGCCTTTAATATTATCTGTTTGGAATCCTTCAAGTACCAGCCTCAGATCCTCCTACTATGACTCCATATTTAGCTATCTCATATCTGACGCAATTTAGGCCTGCATGCCAGTCTTGCATTATTGTTTGGTTCAATCTTGTTGTTCTGTACTTTCTTGTAAAACCAATACAAAGATTGCTGCATAAAAAAGTAACTTTTTCGGGAGACATTAAATTGCTCGGTCAAGTTCATCTTTAAAGTGGACCTTCCATGCAACCCCTCATGGCTGCCTTCTGTCCACTGGAAATCCTGCGAGAATACATTCCAGCATTGGACAGGGATGCATTTTTATTGGATTTTGAGTGTCCGGCTAACCCTGGAGGCAGAGTTAGGCATGGTGACCTCACCTGTGCCTCCCGAAAGCTGAACTGAGATGAAGCCACTGTTTTTTCAGGGAAGGTCAGCTTTAAAGTGGACCTTCACCCACTTTCCCTAATATTACTCCTTCCCCCCTCCTTTCACGCAGATATATATCTATATATATAGATATAGATCTATATCTATATATATAGATTTAGATATATACACAGTATATATTCCCCGAAAATAAGACCTACCCCGAAAGTAAGACCTAGCACTATTTTTCAAGATTCCTGTAATATAAGACCTACCCCGAAAATAAGACCTAGTTTGGTGGTAGCATGTGAGGGGGAACTTGCAGGAGAGATGATATCAGCCTGCAGGGACATACTGTATTAAGAGGATGACAGGGGACTCCCTCCAGACAGCGCAGTGACAGGGAGCACTCCAGTACCATGCTTTACCAACTGCTGTCCTTCTGACGGCACTGTTTAATGGAATGGTACCGTACTTTACCGCGCTGTCCACTGTCTGATTTCCCCTCTGCTGCACCGCTGGTACCACTGTCCCTGATGGCAAAGGAAGCCGGCGCTGTAGAAAGCAAGGCTGCGGCGGCGGAGGGAGCAGAGCCGCATTAGCCGATGTTCCTCTATAGCGCCAGTTACTGTGACAGGCGGAGTGATACCAGATAACTTTGGATTTTTGTACATTTTGTTGCACATTAGAAAAAAAAAGACATCCCCTGAAAATAAGACCTAGTGTGGTTTTTGGGGGCAAAAACAAAATAAGACAGTGTCTTATTTTCGGGGAAACACGGTATATATTACACAATATATACACATTTGGATTTCTCACGCAGTCCAGAATCAAAGGAACAGGGGGAACCTGTCTTAAGGCCCCCATCCCTCATAGGGTAGTGACAATTTATTTGCTTCCCCTTTTTGTCAGCTGTTCACCTGTGGCTCATGTAGGGCTGGGGGTATATCAGCTGACCCCTCAGAACAATAAGAATGTGCTATGCAATGCTTTTCTAGGTGGTGATAACGAGTGCTTCTGATTATTTGACGTGCTAAGTAATCCTTATGGAAATACTCCACCTTGGTGGCTTCTGGTGGGTTCAAGAATGGCCAATGTCTCACCATCCAGCTTTCACTGTAGGACATCTGCCCGTCCTGCTTAGCATTTATGGCCACTTTTAAAGATCTGCTGCATTGGACAGTCTGTTACAGTTACAAGTATCCACGTATATTAGAACATCTCTTGATTTGGTGAAAGTCTTTTTATGGCTGTACCTGGCATTTCACAATAGAGTTATGTTTTGTACTACAGGTTCAATCTATTACAAGTGATTTCATTCCCTTTTCATTATTACTGGTGAAATTTGACTTAAGCCATGTTTGTAGGAAGTTTATCTTTAATTGACAGCAGTACCTAGCAGCACTAATATGAGATAATTATACCTCCAGGGACTGAGGATGAATCACAGCTTCTTAATGTTCTCTTTTGTGATTTCGTCTTAATGCAAATTATTTTTTAGGGTTATGCAAGCCTGTTTCTCTGACCTGTATGTTAGGACACTTAAACTTATAATATTAGACGTCTCACTCTCAGTAATGTTTTTCTGCATGATATTTAATTAAAGAGCATGGGTGTAATAGATGGTATACCCAGAGGTTCTAAGCCGAGAAGCACTAATGTAATCATGATGCTGCAAGATGACAGAATACACTGCTCCCACTAAATTGGTCGCCCCTGTATGCTATTCATTTGCAGGGAAAACTTTCATCAAACTTTCCTTACAGCATAGTTAATTAATCTCACCACATACAGAAATAAATTGTAGAGCCTCTAATCCTCTACTGCCGGTGTTGGAGAAACTAAAGTCTTGTTGTGATCCATTCTCATGAGCATGGTAGCTTAAGCTGCACTGCCTGCACCAACAAGACATGCAGATTCCCCCCCCAAAAAAACACTAGCCAGATTTCTGTTTTAGAAACATTTTTAGAATGGGAGTTTTGTTTGGCGTGGCTGTGAGTGTAGAGTTTTACATTCAAGTATTGATTATGCACATGCAGTTCAGTTTTGGGCACCAGTTGACAAAAAGGATGTTGTGGAACTGGAGAGAATGCAGAGAAGGGCAACTAAACTGATAAGAGTCATAGAGGAGCTCAACTATGAGGAAGGATTAGCTGAACTGAATGCATGTTCTCCTGAGAAAAGGCATTTAAAAGAGAAGCAAAGGCAAAACTTTTTTGGCTTTACTTCTCTTGTGGGTCACTGGAGTACATTTACTTTTGGCTATCTTCTGACAGAGCAGAGCCGCGCTACAGCGGCGAAGGGTCCTGGCAATACTACCTGATTGACAGCTTGCTCTGCCCCCTGAGCCAGAGCCAGAAGGGTCCATCCCCTCCCCTGTCTGTCCCTGCAATTTGCTCTGGAGGAATAGAGAGAGGGGAGGGGGTAACCCCTGCGGCGGGCACTGACTAGTAGTCACCGCTCTCTGCAGGGAGGAGACTGAGAACTGATTAATCAGTAGTTACATGATCACTCAGCCTGTGGTGTTAGAGCTGGCAAGGAACAGCTGCAGTGTCTCACACTGGCTCTAAGCAGGGGGAAAGTATGTTTTACTCTGAATGCACTCCTTCTTTAAGGGGAATATGATCACTAAATACAGATACATAAATGGTCCACGCGGTGCAAAGCTTTGTGCAAAGTTATTCTCTTTAAGGTCATTGCCAAGGACAAGGGGGCATTCTTTGCATCTGGAGCAAAAGAGGTTTAATCTTCGCATACAAAAAGGTTTCTTCAGAGTTAGAGCTGTGAAAATGGAGAATGGGCTCCCTTAAGAACTAGTTATAGTCAACTCAGTTAATTGTTTAAAAAAAAAGCTGGATGTATTTTTAAATGTTCAGAATATAACTGGATATTAACATTCATAATTAATTACACCAGAGATTGTTGATCCATGGAATAGCCAATTGCTTTGGGACAGCCTTTCTCAACCAGGGTCCCATGGCACTAAGCCCTGAGTCCAGCAGGTCACTAAGCCCTGCATGCAGCTGGTCACCAAGCCCTACGTCCAGCGGGTCACTAAGCCCTACGTCCAGTGCGTCACTAAGCCCTGAGTCCAGCGGGTCACTAAGCCCTGAGTCCCGCGGGTCACTAAGCCCTGAGTCCAGCAGGTCACTAAGCCCTGAGTCCAGTGGGTCACTAAGCCCTGAGTCAAATTCATATACTGTTCTGCATTGCTGTATAAATGTATTGCAGTGATTTGTAGTCCCCCTACAGCTGGTGCCATTGTGCATTAGAGTGTAAGCTCCTCTGTATGGAGACTGATGTGACTGGCTCAGTGCTTTCTGTACAGCACTGCGGTATATGTCAGAGCTATATCAATGTATAATAATAACAGTGTGACTGTCTCACTGTGGCGGCGGTGTCAGGAGAGGGGGGTTGGGGAGCCCTAAAGCCGTGTAAGGGGCACCAACATTTCTGATGGCTGCCCTGCATCTCTTTAATCTACCTTTGATATCTACATATACTGTACCCCAGGCATGTACTCACAGGACTGTTCTCAGTTAAAAGGAAAGGTCTTACCGACAAGCTAAGTTGGTGCTAGCCTCATA